TCTAAACAATGGAAGTTTGACCAGTTCATCCAAACTGATACGTGGAAACCCAATGTTCAAAACTTAACTGTTCAGCGGTTCATAGAGCGAATGAGAAAAATTTATAAAGATAAAATTCCTGAACCAGGTGAGTGTTTCAGTTATGTAATACCCAAAACTGATATAGATTTTGATTTATCTGATAAAAAGTTAAATCTAACTAAGGGCGACCGAATAGAATTTGTTGATATGGCAAAGGAACTCAAAAAGGACATAGACTTATCATATTATCTTCAAAATAAAATTATTGGCCTTTGTGCCAGATTTATCAACTATGATGATAGATACCAACTATCGCTCTCTGATAAGATCTGGCAACTCAAAGACTCAGATAAGAAATATAAGCAAATTGATGAGTATTCTCAGAAAAAAGCCAAGAAATGGCTTGAGAAATATATAGATGGCTTGAGTGGTATTAGTTCCAAAATGATGCTTAATTGTAGATATGCTTATAAACGTGTCTACAAGAATGCAATCAAAACCGTACAATCTATATTACATCAGAAAATAGGTAATACCTACAAGATATTTCATGAGGAATAGTTTAATTTTGAGGATTTTAAGACAACTAATACTGTTGAGAGATTATGAAAAAAGTTTGTGGAATACGCCGGAGCATACACCGAGAATGATAATCTCTCAATAAGTACTGAGACAAAAAAATCTATATGTACTGATTTTACAAAATGCCTAAATGCACTTATCCCATTTATCAAGAAATATGATACCTTTTTCTATCATTTAGTATATCATATGCGATATAAAGAACACATATCCATCCCAGATAAGATTGGACGATCTGAAGCTATGAGAAAAAATGAGATAGTTGTCGAGCAACCTATTATACCTAATATAATGAAAGCCAATCGACTGGCACTTAATAATTTTCTAAATATATAGAAGAGGGCAGTCAGTTCAATATAAATATATCTTTATATTAGTGATACTTATACAATATTAATAATATTTTTTCATACATAAATAATACTCAAGTTCAAATATAATGTATTAATAATCATCTCCATAATTTCTCGATGTCTGAAGCATATCATAACATCTCCTACAAACCATCCAAGGATATTCGAGATTTAAAGATGCTGATTGATTATAGTTTTTCTTTCTATGAGTATTTACCTGATAAGTTGGATATCATTTCATTAAATCTTCAATGCTTTCATTTTTATTCTTTGCCATATAGGCTTTTTAGATACCATCTACAATAACTTTTATTGCATTTATGTCATGTATATTAGAAGGTTCTGGTTCAAGAGTGATGATATCTGATTTCTTAAATTTATGACCACCGCGAAATCTTATTTCAACCACCATAAAGGATCATATAACAATGCAATCTGCATATAATGGTAATGATACTTCTTTACAACTGCAACAAATATTAGGTATGGTTAAAAAGGTATTATATTTTCGTATATAAAAATATCGAAGTTTAAATAGATAGTTCCTAATATCTCGTCTATATATCCCATAACCAATCACTTTTTCTATTTATACCCATGTGCATCTTACAAACTACACAACTGCAATAATTAACAGAGCAAGAAAAATATATGCCAATAGCGATGATATTAAAGTGTTTGCCACAGCAGGAAGAGGCAAAGCCTCGAGACTAGGTCTCATTACTTCTATTCCTCCTACTAAAATCTGAGATTGGGTATGATATCCTTACTAATTTTGTTAATGTTACTTTCTTTATTTATCTTAGGGCTAATCTCAGTACCAACTTTTGATAGTTCAGTAATCTTATTATTAGTTTGTGCTGAGATATTATTATCGATTTTTTCAGCTTGATTCAATTTTTTTCTGTGTCCAAAATATTGACTAAGATCTTTAATAGGTTCACTAACTACAGAAATATTACTAGAATTCGATATATTTTTTTCAATATCTCCACCAATTACAGGTTTCGATATAGCCTCCGATTTTAGATACTCAAGCACATTGACTTTTAATGAGACATAGTCTCGAGGCTTCGCCTCTTCCAATTCACTCTTTATATTTTCTAATTCAGCTATTTTAGATTTGAGAGACACGATCTCAGTTTCTTTTTTTGATGAGTTACTTTGAATCGAAATCACATCTTTCTGGGCTAAAGACAACTTACTTTTCAATATCTTGATCATAGACTCAAGTAATCTAATTTTATTGGATTTTATGATATTCTTAGCTTTGTACTTAGTATAGGAAATCTGTGATTGAGTAAGTTGGTATATAAGGTTAGTATTGTCCACTTTTAATTGTTTTAAATCCTGATCTCAAACTTTTCATTCTCGATTAATTCCCTGCTCTTGTTTTAATTGATTGGCTCGTAATATTTTGTTGCAGGTATTTAGATCAGATATAATTTTTGTAGCATAAGGTAATTCTTCATTGATATTCATATTAACTATACATATCTTTTTTCGAATATAAAAAAATAAAGAAAAAATTAGCAAAGTTGGGTATATATGTATATTGAGTTTGATATATTATAGGTATATGTGACAAATAGAATATATATATATTAGATCTTTTAAAAAAAAGAGACTTTATCTTTTAGAATATCCATATCGAGACATCCAAAGAGACCTACTCTATAGACCTGTTTGATTTTTTCTATATTTTTTAAATTTTTTACTGGATATAAATATCTTATATTTTTAAAACAACAAAAAAAATAAAGTATTTATTATCATAGTAAGAAAATGTATAAAATTTGGCACATCTATATTTTCTCTAGCAGATTATGATTATATTATGCAATATTGTAATATAGAACCAAGATATAAAATTTTAAAGAATTTATTAGATAAGTATAAAATATCATTAAAATAGATTTATCAGATCTAGAGAGGAGAAGAATCTAATAGAGTTGCCTGGGATCAATCTATACCCCACTTACAAGATAATAACTCTAATCAAAATACTAAGTATCTTGATAGTAGCTCCAGTAATATATCCAATTCTACTATGAATGCTCTTCATATAGAATCTCAACCTTTAGACCTAAAGGGCCATAGCTTTACCATAGATAATATATCAGTAGACCCAACACAATCAAGTAAGCGAACAAAATCAAAGAGATCCAAATCTGTTTGAGTATTGAACTCACCTGTTATTTCCAATGACTCAACAAAAAAAATAGATATAGAAACAGTTGCTGATTTTAGACATGCAGTAGAAGAAGGTAGGGGAAATTTAGCAAAAACAGAGTATAGGATCGATTAGATATAGATTCTAAACTTTATCCATTCTCTCTATTTTTACCGGATAACCTAATATAATGTTGAGTAAGGGCATTAAGATTGACAATAATTTTAGTTGTATCATATATTTCTTTTACATATCTCTCGCAATTCACATATTTTTTTTTAATAGTGTATTGTCATCATCGCTATCTATGGCAAAGCCATGGCTCTTTGAGCCTATATCTTGCAAGATTTTATTAGGTATTGAAGTATCGGTATCTTGAGATATGGTTGCGCAATTCACCTCTAATTTATTTTTAACCTTGTGCATATTGATCGGGACAAAGAACTCCTTATTATTATACTCTAACCTCAACTGGTGATTTGATGCAAGAGATCGTAATTATATTTATCAAGCAAAGTATTAGATAAAATCAGTATCAGCTTATAATGTTTAACAACAGCAAAATTGGAATATATAGTACAACCTGGGTGAAGGTTACTAGCACATTACGGATAATTCCAATAGATTCAGTGGGTGATGTAGCAATTCCGCTAAGATCATGTTTTTCTTTTGTATCGATTACAAATTTTAAATGTTTAACAATGTCTTCAGTTATAATTGGAAAATTTGCACCAGGATCAACCGTGGCTGCCAGAATTACTAATCTTTTGATTTTACACTTTGTGGTAACAACATCTGTGGCTGTATCTTTTTTTAAATGAAATTAATTTTCATAGGATCGTCTAACATCTTTTCTTCACTATCCGAATCAGGTATTTCTGGAGCTGGTTCTCTATAATTTTTAGCAGAGATAGTTTTACTAAAATCAGATTTTTGAATAGATAGAGCTGAAGTAAGTAAACTCTCAGTATGAGCTAGCATATTGGTGTTAATCTTAGCTTTGAGTTTTTCTATCCAATTTATAGGTGCAATGCTATCAAGTATATCTAGTACAACTCTTTGAAGAGATTTATCAATAACAGTAGATTTATTTCGTAATTTACTAGAATTGGGAATCTTTTTCTGGTCCCTTTGCAAGGCTTGAATGGGTTTCCAGCTCGAAGCTTTGCTTTCTCTTTTTTGATTTTGGATTGCTTGGGTTTATTCCCAGAAAGCGATTTTGTAGAGTTGCTCTTATATTTTACCTTACTAATATGAACCTTAATGTCACTTTCAGATTTAGATTTGGCTAAGGATTCTTTAAAATTGGACCCTGATTTGGAGCCAGAATCAAAATTATTATCAGAAGAGTTAGTATCTAAATCCGACTTAGAGCTTGAATCTACAGTAACCTTATAGACATTACCTTTTTTACTTTTGGATCTACTCTTCTTTTTCTGAGAACACTTACGAGAATTATGCCCAGTCCTATTACAGTTTAAGCAACGGTATTGTGCTTTCATAGCTCTTTTAACAGCCTTTGCTACGTGCAACTTCAACTGCTTCTTCGTAAGATTGGCCAATTCATCATCGGAATCAACTTCAACTTTTTTTATTACTGGTTTTGAAGACAAATCAGGCTTGGAGATAGGAACAAATTCTGAAACCTCTCTAGTAATCCATTATACAAATCTATCCATTAATATATCTTGCATTTTTTGATATGTGCCAGGAGGTTGTGGTCCATA